GGCAATGTCTTCCTAGTTCTCTTTGTCAATTTCTGTGTTTTATAGTCCAATTGATCATTCATTATTCCATTAAAATCTCCCATCATACAGATGTTAACATAGTCCAATTCAGCTATTTTCATATGTAATTTCCTATAAAATTCTTCTTGATTGTCATTGGGAGCATAAATTGCAATTAAAAGAATTTTAACATTATTATCTATTATTTCAACCATCAAAATCCTTCCATCATCATCCGCATAGATTTGTTAAATAAGAATATCTTGACATCATAGCAAGGCATTTGCTTGCCACTTAGGTTCATTTCAGCTTTCTATTGCTTCAGGAACCGTAGAGAAGTTGAGCACAAGTAAGCCAAGAGCTTGGCACTGAATTGATTAAATAAATGTTGCTGGGGACCAGATTTCAAAGTATTATCACCATTGTGCATTTCATAAGTTTACCTCATGAAAATTATATAGTTATGATATCTATTGGAAGCTAGCTGTTTTTCCACTGTCTTTTGAGCACTAAAAAAAAAGAGGATAACCTTAAATATAGTTGTATATGCCAGAACTGTATATGTGGCATATATACTAAGAGACTCCCTACACCTATGGATCTTTTTCCCCCAAAGCTCACCTCAGCTTGAGCCCAATATTTTCAGGAATAACGTTTTTTTAATTTACTATCTGGAGCTATGCTGATTTTTACCAGTTTAATGCTGCATGAACTGGTTAACGGTCATGTAGCATTAACTAGGATTTATTTATAAGTGTCACCGGTTTGGGGTGTGTGTGTGTGTGTTTCTACGCTCTTCACACAATAGCTTAGATTTGTATTCAGGGCCAAATGTCTATGTCCTTACAACAGTGGTAGGCAGATATCATCTGATTGTATGGATAAATCTAAAGTCTCCCCATTCCAGGGAATCTTAGCAAATCTACCCACCCATTGTCAGAAAAAGGCATTCATTTTAAATAGCTTTGACAAATGGATCCATGCTTGCAAGTATGGGATTAGAAAAAAGCTGGATAGTTGGCAGAGAACATTGAACAAGGATGTAAGCATATGATTTATTTTCTATTTGTAGTATAGAAATTTCAAGAGTATCATTCAGGTTTTGGGAACATACTTCTATACTGATGTAATCAAGAATGAAATCATTCTTCTTTTCCTTGTCACTTTGGGTGTCTTGCCTTGTCAAGATATTTTTACAATTACATGAACAATCTGTTTTTGTTTTTGTTTTGCTTTTGTCTTTGGGAAGTTGTGTGAAATACCTTGACTCAGCAATATTCACAAAATGAAATATTCTGGGAGATCTCACAGGTTATCTAAAGCAATTAGATAAATTATTATACCTAAGTGGAAATTCCATGTTGTAGACATTTCAAAACAGAATACTATTATCTTCCTGGGAAAATTTTTGAGAATTTTCTTTGTCATTCCTATATGCAACTATGTGCTCTTTGGCAGAACAGTGTTGGCCATGTTAATGGGATCCCAGTCCAGAAGGCAACCAGGTCATCACACAGGTGTTCCTGCAATTGTAACTGCTGTCAAAGAAATATTAGATTTTTTTTCCCCCAACCGTTGGTACACTTAGTAAAATTTCCCCTCAGAAACAAAGTTTCAGGAATCCATTTTTATACCCTTCTGGTTCAGTTATGTTATATCTCTGGATATAAGATATGAGAACAAACACTAGGAGAAGGTCATTTGGGGGGATTTTGCTCCAAAAAATAACTCAGCAAACTTTGGGCTTTGAAAAATAGCAAGCAGTCTGTAAGTTCCTGTTGAGTTGCTTCCTTCTGCGAGTTGTCCTGCTCTGGCCTTTCCATAGCATTTCTGCCTGTTTGTCTCCTACTAGGAATTACAAGTCGAGGTGAAAGCCCATAAGCAGCAAATCTCCAGAGTCCTAGAAAAGGGAAATGCTATGGCAGAAGATATGTGCATGCCCTCTCTGAGAATCAAAGAAAAGTGCCAGGAACTGAGCAAAAACTGGTTGGAGCTGGAGGAAGCATGTGATGAAAAAATAAAGCAGCTGCAGCAGTCAGTTGCTCACCATCAGGTATATATCTCCATGTAGTTTGATAACATTCTCTTTTACACCACACAAGTAACTACGCAAGAATTCAGTTGTATAAAAATGTCATTCTCTTTCTGCTGCACTAGGGCATTTCCACACAAAGCTTGGTATTGGTCCTGGTTCAGCCACCTGTTTCTTATTACTGTTGAGCTCAGCTGTAGTTCAACATAGATTGCAGACATTCAATCTGCCATGTTGCGGATTGCAAAATGGAGTTCAGCAGAGCTTAAGGAGCCCATTTTCCTATTGGTGGGAACTCCCAGACTCCTGGTTCTTTGGCTTGTTTACTCTGCAGCCTCTGTGCTACAGTACAACCATTAATTAATGTCTATGCCTGTAAATCCACCGTGCATTTCCTGTCTATGTACTTCATATTTCATTTTTTTATTTCCCTTTTTCTTTTTCTCTTTAATATGTTTCCACAATATACAATGTATATAACAAAAAAGAAGAGACATAAATTGGTGTTTCTCAACCTCAGCAACTTTAAGAGGTGTGGGCTTCCACTCCCAGAATTCCCCAGCCAGCAAGGCTGGCTGGAGAATTCTGGAAGCAGAAGCCCACACACTTCTTAAAGTTGCAGAGATTGAGAAACACTGATATTGATGATGAGATTGATGATATAGATATACAGGAGACCTGCCTACTCCAGGATATGGGAATCAAATCAAACTATCTATCTATCACCAGTCCCCTGGTTTAAATCTTAAATCATTTTCCTCCCACACCTTTGAATCAATAGACTTTTGGCCATACTTTTGCAACCCTTCAGAGTAAAGACAGCTGTCCTGTCTTTATATAACAACTCTGTCACCTGAGTTCTTCCGGTCTCACCAGCTTCAGCCCTTACAAAAGAAAGAGATACCATATCTTACCTTTTCCCTTCTGAAAGAAGAAGGACTCCTTTCTGACCTTGCTTGTTTGTCCTTGTTTCTCTTTTGAGTTTGTCTTATCACAGTGGTGTCAATAGTTTCAGCTTCACAAGTTGTTTGGGGTTGTCTCCTGCGGCAGCTGCCAAGTACCTTGCTTTGCACTGAAAGTTGTATCTCTGACCTTGAATGTAATTAATATATTTCATTCTTTTAGCAGTCTTTTAATTTAGTATTGAGTATGTAAAAACACTATTTTATAGAACAAATCTATGAAAGTTAGTGCCTATTATGTTTAGGGTGGAAAATCACCATGTGTACTTTTCATTTATAAAGTTCTTAATGGATATTTGGGACCTGGAGAATTGGGTGGCAGAGAAGCTTCCGCTGGTCACCAACAAAGACTGTGGCAATGATGAAGCTGCAACTCTTAAACATATAACGAAACATAAGGTAACTTATCTATAGACTATGAACTAAATAGGCATTGCTGAGATGTTAAATAGTTTCATTCACAGCCTTAAGGGTGCCTATACAATGTGAAGAATAAACTTAAAATGGTTGGTTCCTAATCAGTATAGGAAATTCATATTGCCTATGAACTATGTTGTATTCAAACAGTAATAATTAACTCTGCATGAACTACTTTTTAAAATGAGATCTAGTCCCCACAGACTCCCCATTCTTTTCCTTGGTCTAAGAGAAATCCCACTGCAAGACTTGTTAAGGGCCCTGCCAAATAACCCCATAATACCCTGTTGATAAACCTATCAACATTATCAGTACCTACTGGGTTCTTGGTGGTCTCTGAGCCTGATCTGTTCCTGCAGCTGTTTCATTACCAAACTACGTAACATCATCAGTGCATGGGGTCTAAGAGAACAAGCCAAATCCAAAAGTGAAAGAGAATCCCTGAGGACATGGCACTCTGATGAGATAAGCTCCATCTACAAACTGCTCAAAAAAGGAAGCAACTGAAGGTCAAAGAAAAAAGGCAAACAGACCTAAACATATCCTTCCTCATTGCACACCTACTAATCAATAATCAGATAATCAGGAACCAGTACTAGATAAACAAGATCAAGCAAAGAAGAAACAATGCCCCACCCAAAAAGCATTTAAGAGGAAATAACACCCCAATCGAGGCTGGTACGAGAAATTACCATATATAAAAGTCAGCAAATTCTATTTCCCTATGCACTGATGATGTTACAGTACCTAATCTGATAAGGAAACTTCTGTGGAAAGAGAAGCAAGCTTAGAGCACCAAGAATTCAGCAATTCAGTCTTGAATATTCTCCACCATGGACTATCAACACTTGTTTGGAAATTCAAAGGAATAACACATTTAGCTTTCTTCAAGTTTATTTCAACTTCATAGGTCTGTCTGGTTTTTCACATCATCTATATATATTTTAGAAACATTTTAATTTTTATAAACAGTGGCAACACATCAAAGAATAGGATGGGGGAGGGGCCAATAACAACCCTCAAAAGATAGATGAGCCCCAGAAAGAAAGAAAGAGCAAGTGAGTTACATTTTCTCTTGGTGAGTAATTTCCACACGCACACTACAAGGCTCTAGACAAGTTTTTACCCTCTTAAATGTGTCCTAACCCATTATTTATGGATCTTCTGCACAGTCCTAAAATAAAGTATGGTATTTGAAAAAGTCCATTCTCACTGTAGAGAAATATTGCTGAAGCCCAAAACAACTGCAAACCAACAGCTAAAGAGTGCTTAATAAATTTGCTTTATTGAGACTGTGATCACAGAGTGTTTACCCACAGAAGATAAATCAATGTTTTATGTTCTGCTTCTAAGTTTTCTTTCAACCGGTATTTATTTTGGGTCAGGCTCTGGAGCACGAAATTGACATTTATCAGAACTTAGTAATGGAACTACAGGAAACTGCCAAAACTCTGCCAGTTTCAGGCTCCATCCACTATGATGAAGTTGATGTGCCTCAAAGACAGGTCCACACAAAGCTTCAAGAGCTACAAATGTTGGCCAATGCAAGGTAGGAGGGTCAGGGAATCCTCTGCGATCCAATGATATCTCTTGTTAGCTTTCTTTTCTTTTAATCAGGATATGACCTTCAGTCATACAATGTGAAAATCAGTGGGACATTTCTGAATTCTTTTTATGTTGCTTTTATATTGCCTTGCCAGAGAGCTCAATCCTAGTAATCCAGTAGGACATAATTATAATGTCATGTATGCAGAGGCAAAAAAAAAAAAAACGCATATGGGTCTACGTTGCCATGAAGGAAAGTTGCTTCATATGTTGGCTTCTATATGTTATGCTTCATATGCAACAGTGTACAAGTACTTGTCCCCTTCATGGAAATGAGCTTGGCTGAAAAAAAAATAGGCAGTTTATAAGAAGGCAGTCAGGGAAGCAAGAAATCCTGCATAGGGACAGGATTATGCCACAGCTGACTTTACACAGGCATCATCCATCAGTACCAGATGAACTTCCTTTTGTGGCTGCTTTCAGAGGAAGGTTTGTTGTTGGACTGATGCAGCTTCTTCACTCATATTTAATGAAGGATCCACATTTTTTATTTTTATTCTTTGCTAATATTGTTTTTTATTGTTTTAATGTGTTATTAGCCATCCAGAGTCACATCTGCAAGATGGGCAACCATATAAGATGGATGGATGGATGGATGGATGGATGAATGAGTAACCCATACAGAATCCACACGTTTCTATAGCAGTCCTAACTTTTTTCCCTTAATGGAAGAAGTCTGCCTTTTTTTTTCGGAGGAAAGATAAATAAGTCAAAGTACACTGGTACTTGTGCACTAATAGATGCCCTTAGCCTAATGCCACATTCATAAAGCTCCTCTGTTCTTATCCTACCAGTTTAGAATCATTGGACTTAAGCTTCATAATGATCTAGAATGTGTAATTTTTACAGTGCGGTTGTATCAAAATCCCTTAGTTTTCCATTGCCTGTGTTCTGTCTATTTGGTCTTCCAATTAGGGGTAAAAAGTTAGAGGAGACTCTTGTACTGCATGACTTCCTGAGAGAATATGAAGATCTTGAGGACTGGATCAATGAGCAGAAACGGGTGGCCAGTTCTGAAGACTATGGAGCTGATTATGACCATGTCCTTGTAAGTTATAATAATTTAATTAAAAAGATTTCCAGAATATGTTGCAATGCAACGTAATGCGACTCTTCAAGAACAATGGCTTCATACATAATTGGTTTTTGCAAAGTCTTTCTTTTGGGATGGAATAATCTACTGAGCTGTGAGGTGTTAAAGTATTGGTAAAACTAATTATTCTCAGCTGAGAACAGCTTCTGGCCAACCTTGTCTGGGCTCAGAGTCTGGCTAATTCTTGGATAGGAGACCTTCTGGGAATAACAGGGATTTAGGCTAGACTGAGAAGTTGAAAAAATATCTCAGAAGAAGACAAAGGTAAACTATTTCTGTATTGCTGTCAAGGAAACTAGGTGAATATATCCAGGAAGTGACTCATCTTTTTAGGCACTTTCATGCATTGATTAATATTTACTACAGAGAGCTCATGCAGACAAGAAATAACTATCAAATTTAGATGCTTGCATAAAGAGTAAAACTACTGCATCCACAATTACTTGTTGTTCCAAATAATTAGTAAGATGTCAGCAGGGTAATGAAGATGTTATTTTCCTGCCCAAGGATATTGCACAAAAAGTGAAAAGAATAATTGTTATTGTTAGAGCAGACATCAAACTGCAAGACAGAAGGAAAAGATTTTCAAATTGCTCTATGATTATCTTTCTAGAATGAAATATAGAATGAGATGTTTAGAATATCAGAGTCCATCACTGTACTTTGAAATAAAATCATACTGTGATATGTGGGAAAAAATCAAACGGGCTAAGTTGGAATAATTAATTATCCAAAACTATTCATCACTTCAGTTTTTCCTCCCATTCATTTTCTTTAAAAGCTTCTTTGTGCCAAATATGAAAAATCTCAGCATCAGATGGAAATTGCTGCCCAGAGAGTTGCTGCATGTCATCAGCTAGCACAGAACATGTTGGATCATGGCCATTTTGAATCCAGGGAGATTCGGAAAAAGCAGAAAGAGTTGAGGTAAGGAGGCATTCTTGTCCTTTTCCATTATTTTTTTCATCTTGGCCCTTATTTCACAAGAGAAGTATCAGGAAACTGTAGAAGAGCTGTGTGGAAAAAAATCTTCCATGAAGCAGAACATTAGGGTGGCATGTCTAGTTTGCTGCAAGGGCTAAGACCTTTCTTAAATCATTTGGAATTTAACAGAAGTAGAATAAAGGTACATTTGATTTGCAGCAATGGATTGTTGGTATGTCTACATTTAAATTCATTTCTTTTTCTCAACAAAGAGGCAAGACTCTCAAGCAATATGAAATATAAAATGTATGAATTTTATGATGACTTTTTATATGCTCTTGTATTTTTTATTGTTTTAAATTATGGTATTGTTGGGTTGTTTATATTGTTTTATCCGTCTGTAAGCCACTCAGAGTCATATATGGGAGATGGGTGGCTATATAAATTAGAATGAGAAAAATGAATAAATAAAGTCAAAGTTACTCTGCTTATAGCTTAATGTGCCAGGCCCTTTTCCATCATCATCACCACCATTATTGCCATTCTTGTTTGCGTGCATATGTACTTTCCTTTTGCTAATTAATTCAGCACAATAAAATTGTACACACAAACATTTCTTAAATTGTTTTAAATCTTAAATCAAGAAATTCTGATAGATTCCTCATAAGAGGAAGGTAGTTAGGTTTATACTATGGCACCACTGTATTTTGTTTTACTTCTGTTCCAGCAAAACAACATCAGGAATTGATGGGGTTGACCCTCTACTAGGGCCTCAAGGTTGACAGGTGGCCCATAATTGACTGGCGCATTCCTCCATCCCTATCCACTTCTGATTTGCTCTGGATGCTGCCTCATACCTCTGACGTCTTTTTTCCTGCTTTAGGAGCAACTGGCAGGAGTTGCTGGAGATGACAAACTATCAAGGCAAACGATTACAAGATGCTGAAGCAATTTACAAGTGCCTGCAGGACCTGATGGAAGCTCTCAGCCACATTGAGGTTAAAATTGTGTCAGAAAACACATGGAAGGGACATTTCCCCCCACATATCTTACTGCGTCTTTTTCAGGCACAAATTAGATATGAAGAAACAGCCATTCATTTCCATTGTCTACCTAGGCTTTCCACACTAAGTAATCTTGATGGCTAACAACAATAAATGTAAAATTGTAGTACTGCGAAAGTTTACATTTGCCATAACATTTTTTTTTAAATCACAAAAATATAAAAGGGCAAATAAAAAGAGTTGTCCGATGTTTTATTCCCACATTTCTCTCATATATACATATAGAAATGTGGATGGTTGGCTCAAATGAATAAGGGGATTAAGTTGTACTCCACTGCATGACACACTTTTCTCTTTAGCCTGCCTTCTTTTCATCATCAAAGATAGTTGTGGAGCAAAGATTTTATATAGCAGACAGGAGGGAGAGAATCAGGAAGAAGGGAAGAGATTTAGATCCCCTTATCAGTGTGATTTCTTTCATTTAAAAATAGACTCCCAAATAATCCCATCTTCATATCCGGATGAAACTGGCCCAGAGTTTTATATACTGCCTGTCTTAGAACAAAATCAAACCAAAGCGATTAACAGAAAGCTTCCTTCCGTGTTTGGTCTTTAGGAGAAACTAAAGACCATCCCAGATTCCATTGCTAAAGATCTGAGCGGTGTGCAGTCCCAGCTACGTAAGCAAGCAACTCTTGAGCATGAATTATTTGGGAATGAGCAGCAGGTAAGATATACTGCAGTCCTGAAAAATATAATGGAGTTGTTTTGAACTTGCCAGTGGTTCTTACCTTCTGAATATTATTTGCTTTAAATATGAATTAAAACTGAAGTTAATCACAAGATGCCATAGTGGTTAAAGCATTGGGCTAGGAGCAGGAGAGCCCAGGTTCTAGTCTACCTTCAGCCATGGAAACTCATTGAGTAACTCTGGGTCAGTCACATTCTCTCAGCCCACTTTACCTCAATATAGGGATGTTGTTGTGGGGAAAACTAGGAGACGAGAGTGCTAGGTATGCCACCTTGAGTTCATGAATGAAAGGTGAGACATAAATCTAATAAATAAATGAATGGGAAGAAAGCAGCACAAGATCTTGACCAGGACCCTCTCAGAGGGTCCTTTCAAATGGTATGGATGAGATGGTAGAGTCTTCCTTTGCCTTGAAATGGGGCTATAGCACCTATATCTCTTTTACCTCCTTGCCATCCAGGAGGAGGAAATACCAGGCTGAAACCTTTTGGGAAGGACAGGTAGCACCCTTAGCAGCAGTCCCAGCCCACCCCACCTTGTCCTTACTTTCATCTTCCCAATATTTGTCCTGCATTGCTTTGGCTACCCTGTGTGCTGCTGGCTTCTGCTCCTCTCCCTCCACCTCCTTTTGGAGGAAGAGAGGGAAGCAGGATGAACGTACTGAGCAGTGACAAGAAGGAAAAGAAGCACACGGGCTGACAGACGTGCTGATGGACAAATGAGAGGGAGTCATGTCTGCAAAAAGGAAAAAGATGCTGGCTGCTGCTGCTCCTCTGCGTTCTTGCCAACGCTATCAGCCTATTTCCTATATAGGCATGACAGATTGTCCTCCTGGGCTTTCTCCAGTACTTAATGCAGACAGCTGCAGATATTGTGCCAGTTCCAAGTCGCCAGCTAGTTTAAATAGACTATATAGTCTATTTCAATATTTTAATTTTCTGAGGTCTGCTTGTCTCTGCAAACTGACTCTGGCTGCTTATGAAGCTTTGTATATAGCGGAGTGTAATTACCCAAATCTTGGGAAGACATCATTGATGGATGTGTCCTTAAGCTTTTATTTTGAAAGCTAAATTATTCACTTCATTTTTTCCTGTTTTGCAGCTGCATGTTTTGATTGATACTGCAGATGGCGTGCTTCGCCTGTGCTCTGAGAGGCAAGCAGAGATGATCAAGGCAAAGCAAGAGGCCTTGGTGGAGAATTGGGAATTCTTGCGATGTAAAGTAGAACAAAGCAGGGAGCAGCTGGAACATGCTTGCAGATTATACCGCTTCCAAACCCACGTGAGCATTTCAATGTTCTTTTCCCACTTTAAAAAAAAAATAAAAATCTTACATTATTCTGTCCTCCAGTTGTGTTGGCCGGAATTTTCCAGAGTGATCAACCAGCACTCTGGAACCAATCCATACAATTGCACACATTTAACTGCAAGTTGTTATATCATGTATATGTATTAATGTATCATTTACAGTATATATTCTAAAGATTCACGATCCTGTTTAGGTCTTGTGGAAAACAAGAAGCCTTTGTTTGCACTGCAGGCTGGGTGTTCTATGGGGCTAAAAGCTGACATCCATATTTGGCATGGATGTACTAAGAAGCCTAATATAATAATATTGCCAGCATAATTATTATGAAAAACATAAAATATTTGTCTCAACAGCCATCTTTGTAAAGGTCTTTTATCTAATAAATTTCTAGGGTGGTTATTCAAAATATTTGAAATCTGTGCAGTTCTTTTTTAGGGCACTGTCTGAGATTTTCCTGAGCTTGTAGTTGTTCAACTTGTCTTTCCTCAGTTCTTTCCCTTATTTGTCCTTCTTTCTTTCACTCATATGTTCTTCCTATGTGGTTTCTTCTTATATCCCTACTTGTTTTTCTTCTCCTCTCCTATTTTCCTAAACCAACTTGAATCTGGGAGCCTTCTTCTACTACTTTTCATCACCATCCTTTCTATCAAAGGCCATAAAGTCTGTGGGAAGAGTGGCCTCAAGTATGATGGAAGGGGCAATCAAAGTGGCCTTTGCTGGGTATGGCTCTCAAACAACCAGAAGGCACTTCCATTGTGAGACGCTCTACAAACAATCCCAGGCAAGCAAATCTGGCACCATTTGTATTTCCCACTGTGCCCATCAGTGGAACACCTAGGGCACTGTGGAAAAATAATTTGGCAGCTGTGCTCAGCACGGTTCAAAGTATCAGTCAGGATTTTTATTTCATGGAAGTCAGTAGCAATAGACCCTGCCAATGTCTTGGAGCCCAGCAGTTGATCCAAAATACCTGTTGATAACACTGCCCATGTTCTGCGTGACTTTTTCTCTCATTTTCCTTCCTTCCAACAATTGCAATCTAGTAAGGCAGATGTAATAATGGATGACACACAGCCATGGAAGGGAAGATAAAACTGAGACATGGAGCTCAGTATTATTATGTATGAATCTTTCTAGTCCTTTGGTGGACATACAGATCTCTAGTACATAGAAGGAATTTTCTGATAATTTAAATAAGGAAATAGCTCCACACAGCACCTGTTCCTTCTGTTTTCTTTCAAGTGAATTACATAACTTTTATTTCTTATCATTTGTGACATTAGGATCATGCCTTTCCCTCCAAGAGCTCAGAGACATGCATTATCTTCACTACAATCTTGTGAAATAGGGAGATTTTCCCAGAGAATTTCAGAGCTGAGCAGAGATTTGAATCAGCCATTAACTCAACAATTCAACTACTGTATTACACTGGCTCAGGGAGGCAGTTTAGCTACTCTGTGAAAGACTCTGTGACAGAGGTGTGCATTTGAGATATTGCAGGTATGAGGTTTGAAGCTGGAATGGTCAGAAGTCAAGACTGCAGGCCAGACAAGACCATTACCAAAATACTGTGTAGGTGCCCTCAACATCCAAGGCTGAGAAACAGGTGGCAAACGATCCATTACCATGTAAAGGGGGAGACACAAGCAAGGTTTAAATCCTATATCAGATACATGAATATGACTAGATTCCTAGATTATGCAGTACCCAATCACATCTACAATAAAAGCAAGTCATCTGAGTCTCATCCCTCAGTTTTTCACAGCCCGGGGGAGGGGGGTGAATGTTTCTAGAAAGATGTATTGCTGTGCTCAGAGTGAAGGTCTTAAAGCAGTTACAAAGAACATGGTGGAACAACTTGGCCGAAATGAATTGCATTTCACAGACTACACAATGATTTTCAATATGTGCAAATATACACATATAGAACACTTTTAAAGCCAACTATATATGATTAGTGAGACCCACTTTGGTGTAGTGGTTTAAGACGCCAGACTAGAAACCAGGAGACTGTGAGTTCTAGTCCTGCCTTAGGCATGAAACCAGCTGTGCTACTTTGGGCCAGTCATTCTCTCTCAGCCCTAGGAAGAAGGCAATGACAAACCATTTCCAAAAACCTTGCCAAAAAAACTGCAGGAACTTGTCCAGGCAGTTGCCAGGAATCAATAGTGACAAAGACCCCCCCCCCCAAAAAAAGTTACTAAGACAGTATTCTACAAAATGGAGAATACATCAATTTTAATATTCAGGCTTTAATATGTTACTGTGCACTAGTGTTTTGTTATAATTTTGGATCATAGCGGTTTTAAAATCCGGACAAGCTCTTGTGCTTCTAATGTTTTCTTCTACTATTGTTTTACTCCATTTAAATTAGTATAATACTGCATTACCTTTTAGGGGAAGAACTATGATTCTGCAGCCAAATGCATGCTTTACAAAGTTATTGTGTCCCTGATATGTTAAGATGAGGCTGGGAAAAATCCCACTCTCAAACAATGGAGATCCACACCAATTACACACACAATACAAACTTGGATGGAACATTGACTGGGTTCACATATCACACAAAGCCATTATGTGGTTCATTGGATAATTCTCCAAAGTCAAAAAGAAACAACCTGATATTAAATCAGGGTCTTTAGTATCCAAAATCGGAAACAGATGGAAACTATGTCTCCTGCCCAAAAGAGATTTACCTCTAGCTCTTTATGTAAAGCAAGCAGAAGAAAGAGGCACAGGAAATTTCAATGTTAATTGTTATAAATAGAACTTGCGCTTGATACACAGTAGTTACATGAATTATTTTGGAATTGTTTTCTAGTTTTGCTGCAATCAATCTACTTAAGCTGAGTCTTCATGCCCAAAGACATATATTCTACACTTGACAGATAGCCTTGACAGTTTGTTTCTTTGAGGCAAAACACAATGTGTGAACCCATCAATTGTAGCTTATTCAACTAACCACATTTTAGTGCTATGTGTGAACTGAGCCACAAGAAGTTTCATGCATTACCTATATGGCCAATTAAAGATATAAATCTTGGCCCACATCTTAGATTTTTTTCCTCAATTTTAAGGTATGGGATTATTCTTCCTGGGCATCTGAGATGACAAGAGAAATGGCAGTTGAAGAGACCATTCGAGATGTATCTACCAGTGGTCTGAAGATTAATCAGCATCAGCAGTTACTGCCAGAGATTGAGGCTCGAGCTGAGATTTATGAACGAGTATTACAGCTAGGACAAGAGCTGCTGCTAGAACAGAAAACGGCAACAAGAGAAGTATATATGCATAATGTAATTTCGTTCCCACACAAAGCTCACCGGTGTTCAGACCACCAGCATTTCCACAAAATTAGCATCTTATGAGTATGTTTTCAAAACCAGAGATTTCATGAGATAAAAACCAAGCAAGGTACGGTACTTTCCAAAGGAAACATGAATTTCACTAAAACATACCCACCTACTTCCTCATGTATAAAGAGGTGATTGCTCTAATTACAATTGGAAATTGAGCATTAGCATATTTCTGTTAACAGTGAGGTAAATTACATCTCAAACATTCCCCCTTCATGGATTATTACTGACATTTTATAGCAGTTGGTTTCTTCTTATCAGATCCAAGGTGCATTACAAACTCTGCTAGAAGCAAAACACAGAGTGTACCAGATATGGGCAGAAAAGAAGGAATGGTTGGAGAAGATCCATCTTTTGCAGATATTTTACAGAGATTGTGAATACCTAGACAACATCTCAAACTCCCAGGAGGTAAGTAGATAGTGGTAGCACATGTTTTATTGATGATTTAATGAAGTTTTAAGATGTATTTGAATCTATTTAATACTCAACCTCTGTCTTTTGTCCTATGCTCTACCCATTCCTTCTATCTTACACATACACACATGTACAGCACATATACAAATCTTATGGTAGTTGGTAAGAAAATAGGATCAATCCTATTTTTATCCCTAAAAAGAAATTTGGTATCTGACTTTTTAATGGCATGGTCAATAATACATCTGTGCATAGATTTATGATGTGGAATTAATTCCTTGATTCTGAGAAGAAAGAACTATCACACCCTCAGAGGAGTAAGCATCAACCAAAAACAGTATCAGGGAATTTCATTTATCTCCCCCCTCCCCATGTAAAGTGCTTCCAAATGAATACTGTATATTATTGAAAAAATTACATTCTGTCTTTGATGGAGTCCAAATAATGATATCTTCCATGTGTAAGTCTCCCATATTGTCCACCACTTCTTCCATTTTCTTGTAACAGAGAAACTATGTTAATGAAGGGAAAACCTAATAGAGCCTTTCGAATAGGAGTGCTTGACTGTGGTCTCTTCATATCATTAGTTGGTACTGGTAAATGCTGGCATTTCCTGCTGATTTATCAACCAGTTTGTTAGGTATGGAACAAATTTGGTTTTAGAAGCAGAAGGTCTGTTGAGGGAAAAGTAGCCATAATCTTTAAAGATATTCAGAGATGTCAGTTATCCTATTCAGTTCTCAGCCAGTTCCAAATATCTATACCTAGCGTTGGGAAGGTGAGACAAAATAGGGATTTTAATGATGTTATTTCCTATTCCTAACATTCTTGTTGATCAAGCTGAAAAAGGAGGCTCCAGAAATGGAGTTGAGAACTTTAGTGCTTATATTCTTGGGAGATTTTAACTATACTGATACCTCTTGACTCAGCACTTTGCGATTTCATGGCCAAATAACAACTATAGTCTCCATTAATATATAGCCCGATGTATCCAATCTAACAGGTACATCCATTGGAATTGGTTTCCTATACTATCTATAGGGAATGGGAATTAGCTCCCATTATCTTGGATAGGTTACTGTTTGATCGCATTTGTACTACTGTCTACACTCTGCTCTCACAGACTAATTTTAATAATCTGCTTCAGAAGTTGATGGAGATGGATGGTTTCTAGCAGTTTAGCTAATAGTTCTGATGATGAGGTTCTGATTTTTGTTTGGAATAGAGGGATGATCCAGACCACTGATATAATAATTCAAAAGTGTACCCAATTGTACTGGCATGTTGGTATCCTACTTTCTTGAGGACCAACAACCAACAACACAGGAGAACAAGAAAACAACAAAGAAAATATACTTTACTGCTGCCATTACGTGTCAGAATCCTTGAAATCAATTAACCACGTTATTTGCCAGCTTGCTTGCTTACTTCGGTTC